TTTTTTTTTTTTTTTGAGACGGAGTTTCGCTCTTGTTACCCAGGCTGAAGTGCAATGGCGCGATCTCGGCTCACCGCAACCTCCGCCTCCTGGGCTCAGGCAATTCTCCTGCCTCAGCCTCCTGAGTTGCTGGGATTACAGGCACGTGCCACCATGCCCAGCTAATGTTTTGTATTTTTAGTAGAGACGGGGTTTCACCATGTTGACCAGGATGGTCTCGATCTCATGACCTCGTGATCCACCGCCTCGGCCTCCCAAAGTGCTGGGATTACAGGCTTGAGCCACTGCGCCCGACCTTTTTTTTTTTTTTTTTTTTTGAGACAGAGTTTCACTCTTGTTGCCCAGGCTGGAGAGCAGTGGCGTGATCTTGGCCCACTGCAGCCTCCACCTCCCAGGTTCAAGCCATTCTCCTGCCTCAGCCTCCCAAGTGGCTGGTATTACAGGTGCCCACCACCATGCCCAGCTAATTTTGTATTTTTTTAGTAGAGATGAGGTTTCTCCATGCTGATCAGGCTGGTCTTGAACTCCCGACCTCAGGTGATCTGCCCACCTCGACCTCTCAAAGGCAAAAGAGGAAAATTCTGCCTGGCATGGTGGTGGGTGCCTATAATCCCAGGTTCTTGGGAGGCTGAGGTGGGACGGTTCTTGAAACCAGGAGTTCAAGACCAGACTGCGCAACAGAGTGAGACCCATCTCTTTTTTTTTGTTGTTTTTTAAGAGAATATTTTTTTTCTTTTTCTTTTTCCAAACAGACTTTTGCTCTTGTTGCCCAGGCTGGAGTGTAGTGGCGCCATTTTGGCTCACTGCAACCTCCGCCTCCCAGGTTCAACTGATTCTCCTACCTCGGTCTCCCAAATAGCTGGGATTACAGGCATGCGCCACTACGCCCAGCTAATTTTGTATTTTTAGTAGAGATGAGCTTTCTCCATGTTGATCAGGCTGGTCTAGAACTCCCGATCTCAGGTGATTCACCCGCCCCAGCCTACCAAAGTGCTGGGATTACAAGCATGAGCCACTGCAGCCCACGGTTTTTGTTTTTGTTTTTGTTTTTCCTTTCTTTTTTTAAGGTAGGGTCTCACCTTGTTGCCCAGGCTGGAGTGCAGTGGCGCAATTTTGGCTCACTGCAGCCTGGACCTCCCAGGCTCAAACGATTCTCCCACCTCATCCTCCCAAGTAGCAGGGATCACAGGTGCATGCCACTGTACCCTAGCTAATGTTTTTTTCTTTTTGAATCAGTGGAGTTAGGGAAATTTCCCACCAACAAGTTGGTACGGGGCATTGAAGGACTTTTGATTCAGCTAAATATTTGCCTGAAATTTTGGATCCATTGACCATTACGAGTGGAGTGACCTAGATAATTCCTTCACCCTGATACAAAAGGGGATTTGGAGTTACCGAGAGATTTGTATATGTCTGTCCAAGACCTGACTCTATGCAGGAGACAATCAAGGGAAATGACAGAGGAAAAGATGAACAGCCCCTTCTCATCTGCTAACAGAGGCTGGTTCTACCATCGGCCTCTCCCATTCCCAGAAATTCCGCTTGTCCCCCTGGCTTCATGCCCTCCTCAGGAGATTTATGTAAATCATGCCACCTTGTGCTGCCCCTGCAGACCTGTCACCTAGGAAGGGCACAGCCCTTTACAATCCTCTCCTGACTGGGGATTTGCAGCAGTAATCTCCATCCACAAGAAAATAAAATCCCAAGAAGTGACCTTCATTTGGACGTCCCTTCCATCTGCAGGGCAGCTAAGCTAGCCATGCGGGCTTCATTAATGTTGTTTTGGGCTTCAGAACGTCCTGCTGCTGGTACCAAAGCCCTGAGTTCAGGTTCCCTTTAAACTTGCCAGCCTTACTCGAAGGAAAAAAAAAAATCCTTAGAACAACTGAACCGCTAACTTCAGCCCGAGTAGGGTGGAGTCAGACAGAAAGGAGAGGTAAGGGAGAGCAGCTGGCTCAAGACCGGATGCCCTTTCCCTGAAAAGTCACTCAAGCCCCAGGTTGGTGGGTGTGTTGGGACGAGCAGCCCGCTGGAGCCAGCGCACAGGCTGTTACATCCAACACAGAAGTCAAGAGTCTCTCTCTCTCACCAGCATCTCCCACAGCCCATCAGAGCACTTTACTTTTACATACACCAAGAATACTTTAGAAAGGCTTTATCATGTTGCACTATCGTGACTAACTAAGTAAACACCAGCAGGCAGTTAATGAGCACCTGCCCTATGCCAGGTGCCAGCCAGAGCTAGGAGGTGACTTCCAAGATTACCAATTCTATGCCAGCGCCTTCATTTAAAAGATGGGCAAGCCAAAGCCCAGACTGGCTAGTGACCTGCCCAAGGTCACAGAGCCAAAACTTCAGCCTAGATCTCCTGACTTCCCCTTCCTCTGCTCTTTCCAATATATCCAGACCAAACATCTTGGGAATGGATGCTCAGGGTTGAGAGGTTGGAAAACAAGGGAACTAAATGAGAAATTTAAACATCTGAGACTGAATCTATCTGCTTTGAATGAATGAGACAAATAGCCAAATAATGCCTCAGTATTTGTGATCTATGAATGACCCCCATCCCTCTGTATAAAGCAGACACACATTCCTGCCTTGCTCTTTCTCCCAAGGGGCTCCTTTCCAAGCAGCTTACATAAATTGGCACCTTCCTCCCACCTTGGCCAACATTAGGTTGAACCATATGAAGCTGCCATTTTTTATGGGTCAAAGAGGTGGAGTATTAGCAATCTCATATGGTTCAACCTGCTACACCCTCACATAGAGCCATAAGTTGTGCACTCAATGGAGAGGAAAAGGCACTGGGTGTGGGGAGGGGGGCTGGTCAGAGGCCTGAGCCTCAGTGTCCCCAATATATGAATAGCTCTGTCCCCAGGACTGGAAGCCACTCACTCTTTGACTTCTTTGGAGGAAAAGTCCAGGTAGCGATTGCTGATCCACTGAATCTCAAACCAGTCCCGAAAGCCGTTGTTGCCGCAGCATTTGAATTCAATCTGCAACATGTCGATGGTCTTCTTCATGAAGCACCGGCCAGGGGTGTCTGTGTCCCTGTAGTACTTCATGCCGTTCTTGAGCCCTTGGCTCAGGGTGTTCTCCAGTGAGCCCCGCAGCAGAAAGCAGCAGAGAGCCACGAGGAAGAGGATGATGTTGAAGAGGACACAGATAGCCAGGTATGGCTTCAGCCAGGGCTTCCACCTGGCATACTTGGCCGGGTCCAGAGCGTCATAGCAGATCTTCCCAGCCAGAGAGTTGAAGACACAAGATAGCACCCCCATCCCTATCAATGAGTTGGGCACAAAATGGCTCTCAGAATTATTCATCACATCGCTCCTCTTCCGGAGTTCAATCTTCAGGAACAGTCCTAGGCTGAAGATGATGATGCCAGCCAACACAGAGAACCAGTTCATAAGCCAGAGCCCTTGGGCCAACTTGACCCGCTTCTTCTGGTCAAACTTGACTTTCAGTAGCGCCATGTTTGCTGAGGGTGGCCCGAGTCGCTTCCCACCGCTCAGCTCCCACCCCAAACCTTAACGAGCGCAGAGCCGGATGACTTAGGGCCTTGGGAAAAGTGCAGATGGCCCAAGCTGTAGGGAGGTGCCCTGGAGGCTGCCCATGGCGAGCCCCCCTAGCCTGGGATCCCCGTGAATGCAGTCGTGGTGGCAGGGGTCTCGGAATCACAGCTTGAGCAGGGGATAGTCTTGGTTCTGGGCGTTGTTTCTTCAGCGCCCTTCCCAGCCAAGAAGAGGCAGCCTGAACGCTGCAGATTAAAAGTGGGATCCACAAGACGTTTTGCTAATCTCTTTAGCCAGGTTCATCCCATTAGATAAAGCCATGCCACTCTCAAAACATGGTCAAAAGCAGTGTCCAGGTACATGCTGGACCAAAGAGCTCTGGGTACAGCTTGAAGAATCATGAGCAAAAGGTAAGACTGGCCAGAAGAATGAACTGTTTCTGGATGTCTGGCTCAGACCGTGTTGCTCCCCAAAAGCACATTTCCAGGCCAATCTCCTTCAAAATTTAAAACTTTCTGTAGGACAAATAAATTGTTATACTCTTTGAAAAAAGAAATGTGCTGGGCGTGGTGGCTCATGCCTATAATCCCAGTACTTTGGGAGGTCGAGGTGGGTGGATCACCTGAGGTCGGGAGTTCGAGACCAACCTCACCAACATGGTGAAGCCCTTTCTCTGCTAAAAATACAAAATTAGCTGGGCGTGCTGGTGCATGCCTGTAATCTCAGCTACTCAGGAGGCTGAGGCAGGAGAATCGCTTGAACTAGGGAGGCAGAGGTTGCAGTGAGCCAAGATAACGCCATTGCACTCCAGCCTGAGCAACAAGAGTGAAACTCTGTCAAGGAAGAAAGGAAGGAAGGAAGGGGGGGAGGGAGGGAGGGAGGGAGGGAGGGAAAGAAGGAAGGAGAAAGGGAAAGGGAAAGGAGAGGAAAGACAGGGCGAGGCACAGTGACTCATGCCTATAATCCCAGCACTCTGGAAGGCCAGGTTGGGTGGATTGTTTGAGCCCAGGAGTTCAAGACCAGCCTGGACTACATAGGAAGACCCTGTCTCTACCAAAAAAAATACAAAAAAATTATCTGGACATGGTGACACGTACCTGTAGTTCTCCCAGCTACTCTGGAGACTGAGGCAGCAAGATCATCTGAGCCTGGGGAGGTCGAGGCTGCAATGAGCCGTGATCATGCCACTGCACTCCAGCCTGGGTGACAGAGTGAGCCGCATCCCAAATTTAAAAAAAAAAAAAGGAAAAAGAAGAAAGAAAGAGAAGAAGAAAGAAAAGAAAGAAAATGACAGCTCGTGAGAAAACACTTGCAACTTGTAAAATAAAAAGGTAATATACAGTGGCCAGGCATGGTGGCTCATGCCTGTAATCCCAGTACTTTGGGAGGCCAAGGTAGGTGGATCGCTTAAGCCCAAGAGGTGGAGGTTGCAATGAACTAAGATCACCCCACTGCACTCCAGCCTGGCCGACAGTGAGACTCTGTCTTTAAGAAAAGAAAAGAAAGAATATGCAAAAATGTTTTAAGTCCCACAAATTCACAATAAAAAATTTCACAATCAAAAGACCAACAATCATCTGGGAAAACAGGCAAAAACCAGGAACAGGCAATTCATAATAAGGAAACTTGGAAAGTCCGATAATCTGGAAAAGATCTCAACTCGAGTAATAAGCAGGAAAATGCAAATCAAAACAACAACAGAAGACAAAACCTGGCAGGGCACGGTAGCTCACACCTGTAATCCCAGCACTTTGGGAGGCCGAGGCGGGTGGATCACAAGATCAGGAGTTCAAGACCAATCTGACCAACATAGAGAAACCCCGTCTCTACTAAAAATACAAAAATTAGCCAGGCATGATGGTGCATGCCTGTAATCCCAGCTACTCAGGAGGCTGAGGCAGGAGAACCGCTTGAACCTGGGAGGCAGAGGTTGCAGTGAGTTGAGATCATGCCACTGCTCTCCAGCCTGGGCGACAGAGCAGACTCTGTCAAAACAAAACTAAGGCCATATTTGGGGCTCATGCCTGTAATCCCAGCACTTTGGGAGTCCAAAGTGGGCAGATCACCTGAGGTTGGGAGTTCAAGACAAGCCTGGCCAACATGGTAAAACCCCATCTCTACAAAAAAAAAAAAAGAAAGAAAGAAAAAGAAATAGCTGGGCATGGTGCTAAGCCAGATTTAAAAAAAAAAAAAAAAAAGAAAGAAAGAAAGAAATAGCTGGTCATGGTGGCAGGCGCCTATAATCCCAGCTACAGTCCCAGAGGCTGGCTGAGGCAGAAGAATCACTTGAACCCAGGAGGCAGAGGTTGCAGTGAGCTGAGATCACACCACTGTACCCTAGCCTGGGTGATAGAGCAAGACTCCATCTTTAAAAAAAACACCCAAAAGGGGTTCATGATTAGAATATGAGGCCTGGGAGCTCGTGGTGGCAAGTGGGTCAAATCTGTAATCCAGAGTCTCCTTTCTTCCCTCATGTGCACTGATTCCACTACACTAAACTCACCACCCACACACCCCTCTTCAAGTTCTCCAAATCACTATGTAAATCAGAGGAGTATACTCCACAGGCAGAGGAGGTGTGAGAACTAAGCAATGAGACATGAATTTTTCCATCCAACAGTCACCTTGGAAAACAAAGCACTTATTCATTGCCCAGCTCAAATCTGGACTTCATTTGGAAGTGACCTCCAAAGTTAGGTCCTGATCCATATGGGGAAACAGTCTTGTTATACTATTGTCACACAGCATTTTGGGTCAAAACCAGTATCACCCAAAGTGATCACTCTGCTAACAGCCAGTGTTGGCTTCTAATAGTTTTGGATTATCAAAGGATTTCAACTCTTTACCATCAAGGACATTGAAAAGAATTGCTGTCGTTTCTGACGTTGTTTCATTTGGTTTTGCCTTTTCCAAAAGAGAATGTTCAGATAACAAGAGGACTTCTACCTCCTACGCAAAAAAAAAAAGAAAAAAGAAAAAAATCGGAAGTCGATTGTCCTGCAGGAAACAGGAGGTAGATGGCTGTGAGGCTGTCACCGAGAACCTCTTAGAAGCACACGTGCAGACAAGAGAAAACCAGAGGGAAGAAGAGGAAGAAAGATTTAATGTAGAAACCAGAAACAAAAATTTAAAAATAGCTCTACAAGGATAACCCGATTAGTCAGGCACCTCTTTCTCCTCAAATGACCCCGGGGTTGTATATATGACCACGAGGGTGGTGCTGAGCCCATAGCAAGTCTGTGGATGCCCCCTGGTGGCCAGAAATAGAATGCCTCCAATGGATGGAAATTTAAGGTGCTCGCATCCCCTGCTCGTTAAATTACCCAGAAAGGTAAGAGAGAACAGACACGTCAGAAATGTCCCTGGCCAAACCTTTCAAGTTCGAATCAAGGCAAGATATGGCGAGGAACAAGCAAAGAAAAGTGGACTGCAAAGGAAGCAGTAAATTAATCTTCCAAAGAATGGAGGGCTCCTGCCCGCTTCCGGACCAATGGATGTGAGTCTAGACGCGAGACATCCATTATAATGAAAATCGAAGAGGTTAGCGGAACCAAGCATGGTTCACTTTTCTTCTTTAGAAATGCCATGCATGTCTACGGCCATACCACCCTGAACGCGCCGGATCTCGGAAGCAAAGCAGGGTCGGGCCTGGTTAGTACTTGGATGGGAGAAATGCTATTCATGCTGATCGCCTTCGCGCCCCGCCAGTTCTCGCGCCCGCCTCGCCTCGGCCCGCAGAGCTGTCCCCTCCCCACCCTCAGACATGTCGGAGTGCAAGAACGGCCCGGAGTGTGCTTTGTCGTTCGCCGTCTCGGGCGCCTCGGCCGCCATGGTCTTCACAAGCGCCCTGGGCGCGCCTGTGACACGGCCGAGGGGGGCCCCCGGCATCGCGGCCATGTGCGTCCTGTGGCCGGACCTGATCCTGAAGCCCCTTATTCCAGTGGTCGCGGCTGGCAGCGTCGCCCGGTGGTGACAGCCATCGCCAGCTCCCTGAATGACGACGCCAGCCTCTACAGGAGCTTCCTCTCGCCGGGCGCCGGCCGGAGCGTGGGCCGGAGCCGCAGGCTTTGCCATCCGCATCGTGGGGGGCACCGCCCTGCAGCCCTACACTTCGGGGCGTGATCCTGATCTTCATCTTCGCCGAGGTGTTCGGCCTCTACGGCCGCATCGTCGCCTTCCTCCTCTGCACAGAGTAGCCCCTCTCGGAGACCACCCTTCCTCATTCCAGAAGGAACAGCCTGACCCACCCGCGCGGGGCCGCCGCCCTCCATAGCTGGCCTTGTACAGGCGCAGTGTTCTGCGCCCATGTCTGTTGCCCCGGCCGAGTCCCTGCCAGCCCCGTGCCGTGGACTTCTGGGCCCACTTGTGGCCCCTCCAGGCCCCCGGCACCTCACCCGCTAGAGTGCTCTGTGTATGCGGATGATTTAGAGTTGTCATTTCTCTGCACTGCACGTTTATTTATAAAGATCTGGCCTGTTCCCGCGTCTGCGGAGCGGCCCTTGTCTCCCAGCTATCTATAACCTCAGCCAGAGTGTCACCTTGTGCGTTCCTGCTGCTGAGACTTCCTGGATGGAGCCGTCCTCGCTACCCGGCCCTTGGCCCTGCTCCAGGCTGTGTCCGATAACGTTCTCGGATGTGAAAAAAAGGCAAAACATACAGTTAATGCCATTATAATAACAAAATTATATCGTTTTTCTTGGCCAGGCGTGGTGGCCCACTCCTGTAATCCCAGCACTTTGGGAGGCTGAGGTGGGCGGATAGCATGAGATCAGGAGTCCGAGACCAGCCTGGCCAACATGGTGAAAAGCATCTCTACAAAAAATACAAAAATTAGCCAGTGTGGTGGCAGGTGCCTGTAATCCCAGCTATTCAGGAGATTGAAGCACAAGAATTGCTTGAATCTGACAGATGGAGGTTGCAGTGGGCTGAAGTCATGCCACTGCACCCCAGCCTGGGACACCGACTAGTCTCTGTCGGGGAA